GGCGTGTAGTAACAGGACAAGAGGTAATAGCTTTAAACTGGAAGAGGGGAGATTCAGATATTAGGAAGAATTTCTTTACTGTGAGGATGGTGAGGCACTGGAACAGATTGCCCAGAGAATCTGTGGCTGCCCCATCCCTGGCAGTGTTCAAGGCAAGGGGTCTGGAATTAGATGGTCCTTAAGGCTCCTTCCAACCCAAACCATTCTAAGATTCCATCACTTGCAAGAGTAACACCTGATCAAGGTTTTTTTTCTCTCCCACCTTTTTGATAAATTGCTTCCAAACAACCTAAACTCAAGCCATGTGAATTGAAAAACAAGATTTGTGTCTTTTTGTGAGACTTACGATAGATTGCAGATTTATGTATGCAGACTTAAAGACTGAGAGACTGAAGTTGCGTGCCTTGCACACCGAGCAAAACCCACCTGGAACTGACCCTTGCTATTAGCACAGTTTTTCTGTCATGGATGTGGTGTGAGTGCCTCCCTCCTGTTTTGTGACTGCATTAAGGAGGCAGGAGACAGAGGCCTGGTGAGTGACCCTCCTTCGTGGGGGAGGAGGCAGAACTGCAGGCACTACTTCCCAGGAGAAAGGCCCCTCTCACCGAGCCCACACCCCCAAACATCTTACAAGTGCAGTCAACCTCTGCCTGTTTACAGAGTAAGAAGTTGAAAGAGCTATTGCAAAGCAGCTCATTCATCTGGTCATCAGTAAAAAAAGTGGAAACCTAGTAAGGGTGCGTGCTGAAGGTTCAGAAACCAAGATGCCATGAGAAGAATCACCTACAGACAGTGCAAAAGACTGCCAAACGACACAGTTGTGGTTGTGACATGTAAGAAAAACATCTGCTTATCGTGTGAACTGCCGTTAGTTTTAAGAAAGTAAAACAGATTCCCTGAGATACTGCACCCAAGAACAGTGACTTAGGTATTTTGCAGGATCAGAGCCAAAGGGACTTCTACTGTATCTGAAACATGAGGTTATAAAATTTAGGCCTGGCTTGTTTGGGTTTTTTCCCCCCAACTTTTATTTCTATAGCTTTTATACCCCAAATTATTTGCAAGCATGTTATAGATGATTGGTGGATGCAGGCAGATAATTAGTTATATTTAAATCCAAAATTCATCAAATTGCATAATTACAAATAGCAGATGAGACATATTACCTTGCAGGAATAGGGTTCTAATGACCTAAAATACGTCTTCAAAGATAATAATGGAAAATTATGACCCTTTTATTTCCAGTATATGGAAAGTCACGTAGTTTTATTATGTGAAACTGTTAATTTTGAATTTGCCTCCAAATTCTGAGCACTGCTACTGCAGTATTTATTCACTATTCTTACTTTTCTCACAGAAATTAATGGGGTTTTTCCATGGACCGTCTAATGTTGATAACTTGTAGTTGTAAGATGCTTGAAAAAACTACCTGGAAGCAATTGTAGCCCAGAAATATCAATGCAAGTTCTAAGTGTTAGAAAGAAATTATTCAGTTGAAAATGCTCAGAGAATTTGAATGAAAGACTAATCTGGAATAATTACAGGTCAATACTGAATATAATTCAATTTTCCGTATTTTGCTCCAGAGATTTCATGGGAGATATAATTTTGAGGTACAGTTTGGATTGAAATATTTGAGAACATTTAGTAGCAATATCAAAAATTCTGAAGTCACTGCATTTAATATGAAATAAGCAGTTCTCCTCCCTCAATTTTCATTTATTACAGAGAACCTTTGAGGCATGAGAGAGGCATTCATACAGGAATCCAAGGAATTTTCCTAGAGAAGAAGGAAATAAAAAATTAGAATACAAAAAGTAAAGACAGTTTGATTAGTTGAACAGTAAAGAAAGAAAACTGTTGCCTACTTTGAAGTTTCTGCCCAATCTGCAAGAAAAGAGGATATTCAGAAATTCAGATGCCAATAAACATGTGTTGTCAGTACAAGTCCAGCTGAGGTCCCATAACTCTGAATAAATTGTTGAGTTGCATCGCCACAAAAGGCTCTTGGGGAACTAGCACAGCTATTTCCTGTAGCTTTAGGATGGACAAGACCTCTCTCTCTAGAGAGGATGTGGGGAGAACTTGCCTCAGTCAGATAAGTAGTGCCGTGTGCTTTTATTAACACCAGTTCTTGTTGCATGCTATAAAGAAAGTGCTGTTTTCTATTTCATATGGTTTTTTTCTGTTTCTCCACTTACAAGTAAGATTTAGGGGGGGGGAGATAAAACAAGAATAAGAGGAACAATGTTCTTTGTAGGTATTTCTAACAATTTTACAGGTTCTTCTTAGGTCTTTCTAACCATTCTACCCCTCAAACACCAAAGTGCCAACCCACCTGGTGGAAATGTAGATGAATTCACAGTTAGCAGGTTCTGCATGGGAGAAGAATATCCCTTTGTCAACCACTTTCCACCATACATATTTGTGTAATTTGAAAAAACCTCGAACCTTTTCAGGAGGCTTACTACTACTCATTCACTTGGAGTCAAGTGTGAAGAAATAAACAGGCTGACAGTTCAGGGGTAAAATCTCAGCCACATGCAGGTTATTAGAGATTTCACACTGACCTCAGTTATGTCAAAATTACATAAAATCTGCTCAGAGATGAACAGACCTGAGACAAAAGGAGGAAGCTGTAAAGAACAAGGTCTGGCAGCATGATTCATTCACAAAATCGAGGTCTTTTAGTATCCCTTTGTAAAATATTCTTACCATTCTTGTTCTGAAAATATATCTCTAGTAATATATAACTAATTGCAGATTTAGTTATCTTAGGTATTTATTTTCTTTTAATTCTCTGGATTTCCTGTTTCAATAAAATATTTTTGATACTTTAGGAAAATTTTCAGTATTGTTTTTCTTCTGCCTCATGAATTTGAAAGCTAACTCCAATGAACTGTATTGACCGGGTAACAACATCAGCATGTTTCTGAGCAAGTTAAAGCAGGACTTTTGAAAACAGTCAAGGTAGAAAACATTGGGGGTTTTTTTGATGAAACTTTAACAACTGAAATCATAAGACTTGTGACTTGAGAATGAAAGAAAACCAGGCACTTTCTGCTCTTACACAACAGCAGGTTTCCTGACAGCATGACTTCCTCATTGTGAAATGCCAAACAAAGAGTTGACACAACACACCACTGTTAAATCTTTCACATAGACAGTATCTTCCATTTCTGATCCCAGAGCATTTATAGCAACTGAAAAAAGGTACATTCATTAAATGTATGTAGTTAGGCTGAGTCTGTTCTTTGTTAGTTTATTCAGATTCAGTGTCTGTATCAAAACCCCTGTCTTGAAGGATTTCCAGATCCATAATTCATGAAACAAATCTTACTTTTTCTACTAATAGTCACTGGCTGTTGCTTTGTGTTTTGGAAATGCTTCTGTTCTTTGGGCATCTCAATTTTTTGCTCCAATAACAGGTAACTGATCCAGCTAGGGTGTCTGCATAAATCCTAAATTACTCTTCCAGGACTCAAGGCACTTTTCACTGTGTGACAAAGTTCAGCCACCAGAATACACACTTCTTCATGCAGTTTTCATGTAGTATCATGCTGCATGCTGGCCCCTCTGTCAAAATGAAGGTGAACCTTGTAGGCTTTTGGATATACTGAAGGAAAAAAAAAAAAAGAATGAGAGTGTTTGGGAATCCAGGTTTTCAGGATTGTTACTGAAGGAAGTCATGACTTCCTGTATCCAAAATCATTCTTCAAGAAACCATATTAAGCTAAATGCAAAATTAAAAGACCCTTTATGCTATCTAAGAATGGACATTATAGTTGCAATGTTTACAGAAGAGAGTGAAAAAAAACTTATGTGTATGCTAAAGAATCAAACTTCTGCTCTGGGTGGCCTTGCTGGTAGGTCCATACATACGCTTGGCCATCTCTCTCAGGATCCAGCTCTCATTCCATGCTACAGGTCAACATTTGTAGGTAATGTTTGGGGGAGGAGCTGGGCTGGGGATAATTCCTCCATCTTTTCATAGTCCACAGCCATTTTGGGGAGTTTATCCAGATATAATTTATTTATCATGCTCACCTCCCTCCTCAGGCACATCCACCCCTCCACTGGGAAGGAGCATCTCCCATACAGCAGACTATTGGCACATCCCTCTCATTTCAAAAACACTCCTGTGCTTCGTGCTTCTCGCGGCCACTACCCCTTCCTCTCCAGTCAGGCCGGTAAACCGGGTCAGTTATGGCCTGAGTGTATCAGACTGGAAAACGTCCCAAAACCAAACTTAAACGCCAATGTTTTCAACCCTTTTCCATCAGGACTCTCCTGCCCAGGGGCGCACCTTGGTACTACATACCAAATAAGATACCAGTAGTAGCTACCTCCTCCCCCCGCAGGGTTTGATATGGGTCATTACTTAGTATTTCAAGCAAGCACACAGGTTCTTTGGGTTTTTTTTCTCCATACAGCGGTGAAATTACCCGTGCCGAAAGCCGCCACCCTCCCAGATGGCACAGCCTGCGGCCCAGGCGGCGCCGCGGCCCCTAAAATGGAGCCTGCAGACAGCGCCCCGAGGCAGACGTAGCCGTACTCGCTGTGGCTACAACAGGCTCTCATTTCGCGGCAAGCAGGCTTGCTCGGCGCCGGGAGCAGCCCGCAGCCCCGAGAGGCGCCGGGGCGGGCTCCACACGCAGGGCTGGGGGTCCCTCAGTCCCACGTCGCTGAGGAAGAAGCGGCGCGACCTCACCAGGGCGAGCTGCTGCTCTGCCCGGCTCTGCTAGGGGGAGCCATTGCGCTTGGGGGGGGGGGGGGGGGGGGTGAGTGTCCAGGGGGCTAGTCACGAGACACCGCGCAGCAGCTGTTGCTGGCAGGCTGAGGCAAGACTCCGGGAGCGGCGCTGTCATTGGCCGAGGGCGAGCACCATCGGCGCTCCCATTGGCTTGCTTGCGGGGAGAGGCGGAGTGCGTGCGTCTATAAGGCCGGAGCGCGGCGGGTTCATTTCCTATAGCTCGGGCTTGAGAAGGCAGCGGCAGGAGGAGGAGAGTTGCCTATTTGCACAACGCGCCGGGACATGCTCGCAGCCTGACTGACCGCAGGTGGCCGCCGCGCCCGGGACACGAATGAAGAAGCAGTTGCTCCTCCTGTTCACACATCGGGGACTTGTCAGCCGAGGGGGCCGCAGGGGGAAACGCCGTCGAAAATGGCCTCGTTCAGCATCCGCGCTGCGCGTCCTGAGGACTGCCCCGACCTGCTGCGACTGATCAAGGTGCGCGGCGGTGGCTAGAGGTTTGGGGGCGGCTGCAGTCGCTGTGGCGGTACGCGAGGGAGGCTGCTGAGCACCCAGTGAACTCGCTGGGCTGCTGAGGGGAGCGGCGGGGCCCGCCTCCCGTCCCGCGGCCGGGTTTGAGGCAGCTGCGCCGCCGTCAGCGGCGGGGGGGGGGGGGGGGGTACCTTTGCCCTTCGCCTGAACAAAAACAACCTCTTGCGCAAGGCTGCGCGGGGGGGGGGGCGGAGGGCAGCCGCCAATGGGGAAGCGGGTGCGGGAAGAGTCCGCTGACGGGTTCTTCCCTTCCAGGAACTGGCGAAATACGAGGACATGGAGGACCAAGTGGTGCTAACCGAGAAAGGTATGAAAGCGGGATCTGTACGCTGGGTCGGTAGCCTAGTGTCAGTATCTGTAACTCAGGTGCCGATTTATTCTGCCTTTCTAGAACTGCTTGAGGATGGTTTTGGCGAGCACCCTTTCTACCACTGTCTGGTTGCAGAAGTGCCCAAAGAACAGTGGTCATCTGAAGGTGAGACTTCCCAATACTTAGTTTTAGATGCTGAATACACAGGAGGCATCTTATACTTAATGTTATTGACTATACTTAAGGTTCCACCAATGGACTGGGGTAGGCGGAGCAGGTTAACTGTTAAATATAGTAACATACAGTGATACTCAGTTGAAGTAGTTGGTAATGCTGGAGGCATGGGAAGATCAGGTATAGCATAATGTACTTGACTCCAATTAATTAAATGGCTTTTCTTGTTTGACCCTGACTTACCTTTATGTAATCCTGTTGAATCACATTTTTTTCTTTAATTTGTCCCCAATCTTCAGGTTACAGTCTCTAGCTTCGCCATGTACATGGCCCTTCTGTGTACATGGATGGGCGGGGAGGTAACTAAAAGATCCGTTACACAATAAATAGATGATCATAATATGAGGTAAGGTCTACAGGGACAAGTGCTATTCCCAAACCTTTACCAAAGACACAGTAGATCAGAAATCTGTTTGCACGTTTCCCTTACAGTATGTGCAGTGTTATGGAAGGTACACCTGCAGTACTCCAGGATTGGGTTCCAGTGGGCTGCTGTTGGAAGAGTTAATTTCTCTTCCCTGTTGAGCCACAGAGTTATAACTGAAGCTGTAGATTTACTTATCTGACTTCACAGTGCTGAAGGTAAATAAAATAGTGTAGTGTTTTCAGGGGGAGCGTAAGTTGAGGTGCTGGAAATGCTGCTGTAACGGTGGCCTGTGAGTATGCCCTCTGATACAGTGAAATTACTGAGGAATATACACTGAAGGATTAGTGTTCTTAGTTTGATAGACCAGTTTGGTTGCTAAGGAAGCAGAGTTAGGGCAGTCATCTAGATTGTGGACTGCTGTGTAAAGCTTTTACTTGTATTCCAGAATGGGAATGCCAATAAATCAGTAGGGTATGCACACCCTTGTGTTCATCATTGACTAGGATAGGATAGCGCTTTTGAGGATCTCGAGGTATGACCAGGGCAACCTGCATTCTCTTAGGCCAATAAAAGTTTGTCAGAACTCTTTGGTTTCAACTGTGTGCTTATTTGCAAACTTCATTCTTAATCCTAACCTAGTAGCAAATGACTGCATGTCACAGAATCTGTATGTTTAAATATGTATGTCTTAGTGGTTTTGCCTTTTAAATTCAGACTAGCTGAAGTTCCACCCTTTTTTTCAGAACACAGCATTGTGGGCTTTGCCATGTATTACTTCACCTATGATCCGTGGATTGGAAAACTACTGTATCTTGAAGATTTCTATGTGATGGCCGAGTACAGAGGTATATATTCTGGAATTATATTAGTTGCTTCCTGTTAGAGCTTCTTTAAAATTAAAACTGAAGTTTCTTTATTTTTTGTTTTTGTTTGTTTGGGCTTTTAGGACTTGGCATTGGATCAGAAATTCTGAAGAACTTGAGTAAGGTATGTCTTAAGTGTTAAGCCTAAACAAGCAGAACTGGGGACATGTGGCAAGGCACTATCCTTGCCTTTCTAACTGCGTATGGGCTACGCAAATTAAAGGAGGTGATGGGACAGTAGATGGCTTAAACCACTGTCTAGGGTATGTTAAATAGTGACAAGTGGTGAAGTGACTGACAGAATGAACTTGATGACCTCTGGTGATACACAGTTGCTGAGTAGTCCCACCAGTTTCTGCTAGGCTTATCATCTGGAGCTGTCTGGAATGCGTTGTGCTGCATGCTGTTGCAGGTTGCTGTGAAGTGCCGCTGCAGCAGTATGCACTTCCTTGTTGCGGAGTGGAACGAACCATCCATCAGGTTCTACAAGAGAAGGGGTGCCTCTGATCTGTCCACTGAGGAGGGGTGGAGGCTCTTCAAGATAGACAAAGAATATCTCTTGAAGATGGCAACAGAAGAGTGAAGAGATGATTCCAGCAAATAAAATCTGTCTGCGGATACTTATGCTCTCTGAATAAACTTCTTGCTTTCTGTGTACAGTTTGTAGTGGAATAAAGTAGTGTGGATGCTAATATTGAAAGTGCTATCTATGCAGATGTGGTTATAGAATAATTGATACTGTGATCAGCAGTTGCGGCATCTCTGAAGCCATGTATGTGCTTGTGTGCATCCTTTACCAGTGTGGGCTTGTAGTCTTTGTATATGGAAACTTCATTCTTGTAAGTGTCATTCAAATGTGTACAATGTACACACTGGTAGGGTTTGTTTTAATTATTGCCTTTTATAAAAATAAATAGTGGTTTCACTTCATGGCAGTAGTTCTGACTTTAATTCTCACTTACAGTTCTTGGGTAACATGCAAATTTAATAGAAGATTCTCTAATTCACCCAAACACTTTCACAAGTGGAGCATGATGTAAACATTCCACAGTCTCAGAGTGACAGTGCACTGTGCGCTTGCATGGCCCAGGGTGATCACCTGAGCACCTCTGCTTGATGCTTGACTGTGTGGAGAATGTGAGATTAATCTCTACTTCCTGTGTTCTGTGCAAATGAACTGCACTTGAAGTGCAATTGGAACCCCAAACTGAGGCTAGTGGTCTCTGGAAGGCTGCTTTGGAAGGTCTAGACAGCTTGTGCCATTGCCACCTTGGGGCTCTCAGTTAACCTTCATCAGGAGGGCATAACCTCTAATGGGGAGGGTGCATCTAGTTGTAGTTTCAAAGCTTATACTGCAAAAAATAGGTTTGACTGGTCAGGAGTAGAAGGAAGTATTTTTGCAAGCCACAAGAGACCTTTCTTGTGATTGTTAAGATGTGGAACTTGAATGCTGCTGGCTGTACAAGGTTATGTTCATGGTACTGTTTGAAGAGTTTTTTGTGTACCTCAGTGGCAGTGGTGAGCTGCCTGGAGTTAAGTGCTGTATCAAGCAGTTGAAAACAGATGCTGGTTCCAGGATCCATGAGCCACTGTATAGAAATAAATAAAAACAATGCTGTGTATCCATTTTTTAATCTTCTTTGAAACAAATTTGTCAACTTTGCAGTACTGTGTCTGACCTTCTCACAAGTTGGTGGTGAAAGTGGATGTGCAAGTTTTATGCTGCTCTTCTCTTGCTCTGTAGTAACCCCACATTAAAGAGCTTCATTTGGCCAGTGCTGCTTTCACTTCAAAGGAAGGGAAGAGACTGACCTGCCTTGTAATATACACTGCTTTAAATAAAACAAGGTCTTACACAGATTTTGATCACTGTGTAAATCCTGTGTCATCACGAACATGTTTACACATCCTAGAGAGCAGTGGGCAGTGACTGCTTCAGCCATGAGTAATGCCACACAAATTTTAAGATATCCCTCTGCCTGGGGGCAACAACAGGACATGCAGGGCATTTAGCATGAAAATGTTCTTGGTTTGGTTTTGTTTCTAAAGAAGGCTTAGGCAGCAGAGTGCCAGCTCTGCCCAGGTGTGAGGTATGGCCGTCAGCTGCTGCCTCAGGAACCAGAACACCGGTAAGAAATACAGGAGCTCTTGGAAGAGAGCAGAAGGAAGCGCATGTCTGAGGGGTTGTCTGGACAAACAGGCTGGGCTAAGCCCAGAATCTGTCATGTAAATTACCCTGATTTAGCAGATCAGGTTCTGCATATGAAACAGTCACTTGCAGACACTCCTTGTGTCTGTGCAGCACCTCGGCTGCTGAGCTTAGTAGCCTGAGGCTTAAATCCCTTTCCTGCCTGAGAGGATCTCACCTGCCTGCAGATGAAACGAGGCTACAGACTGCCCAGCTTGCACTGGCTGTGCCTGTCCTCTTCCACAATACAGTAGGCCAGTGGAAGTGAGAGTAAGCACACCCAGGGAACCAGCCCAGGAATTAGTGCTGGAGGTGGTATAGGAAGGACAAGATGGTCTCCAGTGGCTCTCACTGAGCAGCAGGGTGTCATATCTTCTCTCTGGTGAAGCTGCAGGAACTTCACTGGCAACTCTGAGCAGCAGCAACCTACTCGTGCATCTCAGTCCTAGTGGAGTGTGTTTTCAGGTTATTTTACACAGTGCTTTTGGCTCTGTGTATCAGTCCAGAAGATGAGTACTAGTAGAGCAGTTTAAGAATGTTTTTATTTTCAAATTAACAGTTCGTTAGATATCTAGGACAGACCTGCTTAAATCTCAGGCCCCAGACTTCTGGAGCACAATAAAGGCTATCAAAGCTGCATGACTGAATGGAACAAGCCAACTAATTAGGCATTATAATTAGGAAAGTAAGCAGCTTAGTCCAATTTCCAATCAATTTAAAAGTGTTTATCGTGTCTTGTTCATCATCTTCTGCCAGTGAAATTTACCATTGCATTTTCTAAACAAATTCTGCTGAAACAGATTCTCAGGGAGTCAGGGAAAACAAGCGAGGCAGTACTAAATGAAAAGACTTTTTCTAGTCAGCTGTGGTAATTTTAAACATTCACGTGTGAAAGTAAAGACAGGGACTAACCTTTCAGATGAGATTTCCACTGAGTTCCTAGTAAGAGGTAGGCAGCTTAAAACCAGCAGAAATACCCTCACAGTTTTGGTAACAGAGTCTGTGACACAGTGATGTGGTGATGTCTCAAGAAAAGACCAATTTTAAATCCACTCAATAACTATTTTTTTTCTCCTTTCTTGGGGGACAAGAGTGACTCTGTCACTACAGTCCAGATGTACAGCAGAGTATTTATGTGCTTTAGACATGGGAGAAACTTTATCTGGCTTGGCTTTCTTCATTTCCAGGATCCTGATCACATCACCTAGCTGCAGTGTGGATGTTTGTCTGGGGTTAAGCAATACCAGTATGCTTTGAGTTGCTCACTGGTATCACACCATAGAATCAAAGAATGGTTTGGGTTGGAAAGGACCTTAAAGCTCATCTAGTTCCAGCCCCCTGCCATAGGCAGGGACATCTTCCGCTATACCAGATTGCTCAAAGCCCCATCCAGCTTGGCCTTGAACACTGCCAGGGATGGGGCAGCCACAGCTTCTCTGGCCAGCTGGAAGAACTTCTTCCTAGCATCTAGTCTAAATCTCCCCTTTCAGTTTAAAGGCATTCCCCCCTTGTCTTATCCCTATGTGCCCTTTTTTTCTTGTAGGCCCCCTTACGTACTGGAAGGCTGCTCTAAGGTCTCCCTGGAGCCTTCTCTTCCCCAGGCTCAACAAGCTCTATTCTTTCAGTCTGTCTCAGCCTATAGGACTGGTGCTCCAGTTCTCAGATCATCTGTGTGGCCTCCTCTAGACTTGCTCCGACAGGTCCGGGTCCATCTTGTGTTGGGGGATTCCCAGAGCCGAATGCAGCACTGCAGGTGGGGCCTCACAAGAGCAGAGTAGAAGGGCAGAATCACCTGCCTTGATGGATTACCAGTGGGAATCCATCACAGCACACAGGGCTTGCGTAAAGCCTGCAGGTATGTCAGCCTTCTGTATTACTCTATTTCCTCACTGCAGTGTGACTGCCCCTAGGGAAGAGTTAGGGAGCAGGTGTTGTCACAGCCCTAATAACATCTCTGCAAGTGAGATGCAAAGATCCTCCTTGCTCTTGCTGTCAGCCTCATGACCCAGGAAGGTCTTACACTGAGCCAGCCAAAGAAGACTTTGTAGTTGCAGTGTTTCTATGTTCCCATCAGGTGGGGATGGAAAGGTGGCCTCGGACAAAACTACGGCCACATAACACAGCAGAGGGCTGTCCTTGGCTGCAAGAAGCACCAGGCTCACTGCCCCCTCTCTGCTTGGTATTTTCCTTCTCACAAGCTCCTGCACAGTGACCCGACCCGCAGCCATAGCAACGGCATGGAACAAGGCTTGTCTACATGATTTGAGTTAAAACATAATATATGTGAGAAAAACAACCCTTCCCCCTCCCCTCTTCTTTTAAAGAGACTTTGCTTGCAACATAATTCAAAACCCCAATGCAAACTTTTCCCCTAAAGAGTATATAGGTGCTTTAATGCATTCCTGCACGTGGCATTTTGTCTTGGAAGCCCTGCTATCCTGGAGCCTTGCCAGCTGAATGCAAGGTCCCAGCTGCAGAGAAAACACCAGCTACGTAGGGAGCAGGGACTCAGGAAAACATTGCATAAGTGTTACCTGGAGCTGGAGGCTAGCCCGGCGATGCACTTGGTGCCTCTCTTTGAGCTGACCAGAAGGTTTATTTAGAATCACAGAACCACAGAATCTTTTAGGCTGGAAAAGACCTTTAAAATCATCAAGTACAACTGTTAACCCAACACTGCCAAGTCAACCACTAAATTATATCCCTAAGGGCCACTTTTACATGTCTGCTAAATACCTTCAGGGTATTTAGCACTCTCAGGGTATCAGCCACTTCCCTAGGAGCCTGTTCAGTGGCTGTTCAGTGGCTTAACAACCCTTTTGGTAAAGAAATGTTTCCTAAAATCCAATCTAGATCTCCCCGGAGCAACCTCAATTCATTTCCTCTCATCCTGTCACTTGTTACCTGGGAAAGGAAACAGACATCTGCCTTGCTACCTTCCTTTTTCCCCTGCTCCCCTTGCTCCTCTGGGCAACCCTCCACACACCTTGAGGGCTGCTAAACTGGAGAAATGCATACACACAAACACACACGACTGCTGGCAGCACTGATGAGAACTGCAGTGTGTGTCTGCGTGCTTGCTTTAAAGGATTCATGTCCCTTCACTGACTTGGCGCTGCCCAGTTGTTTTGCTTGCTTGGACAGGATTGCTTATATGCGGTTTTTATTTGTTTGTTCGGATCTCATGTTTCAGAGAAGTGGCTACAATGTAAGTAAAGGCATTAGCTGCGCCCTGAAGTAAACCAGCACACAACTAGGTGCTTGCCAGTAACGTTCCATCTCACTGCCAACACAAAGCAGCCTGTAACTTCACCACCCAGAACTCTTCCTTCTCCCCCCAAGACCTAACTTTTTGCTGCTGAGCAGGATTTTAGCAAGTACAACCTTAATGGAGGGCTTTAGAGACCATCAGGAGCTCAGACTAGTCCCCATAGGGAGCTTGTGGAGGAGAGGGTGCAAGGGTGAAGGCGGTGGATGTGGGTCTGGGGTAGGAGCACAGTCCAGCACAAATGCCTCACCCCACTGTCATTCTGACTTCTGGAATCAGAAATGCTCACCGCAGCTGATAACAGAATAAAGCACAGGTATACACCTCTATTAAAAATGGGGGGGGGGGAGGGGTGAGGGGTGAATTTCACCTTGAAACCAGTTTTGGTTTCATTTCACGGACCTACTGAAGGCCAAAGCAAGAAATAAAAAGCCCCAGGGGATAATTAGCTCATGAGAGTGAAAAACAAACACC